CAGATAATGGTGCTAGGGATAGTGGTTTGGAATGAAGTTCTAGTGTATGTTTTTTTATGAGTGTTGAGGATAGGATAGATCAGGAGGAGGATAGAAGTCAGCAGTCACTTTGGTTGTAGAGGTGGGATTAGTGGTATTGCAGGATGGTTCAGAGAAGAGTATTTTCTTAGGTCTCGCTTAGGAAGTTTTGGATGTCCTCTAGGGCTTCTGGAGGGGAATTGGGTAGAGAGGTTTGGGGAATGAAGGATTTTTTATGAGGTGAAGAGTTGGTCTCTGCGAAGGTGCGTCGCGGTCTTCAACAATTACTCTTTCCCCTTTTCTCCCATAACACTGATATGCCAAACTAACCTGTCACCATCAAAGGTGTGTTCTGATCCCTTGGAGTCGTCACTGCCCCAATGGAAGTGGAAGTTACTGAAGACATACTCGCCCTCCAGCCCACCTCCTTTGATGAAAGGAAGTTTATTCATGTCCTTGGTGGTCCAGGTTGTCACCACTGCAAAATGAGATTGGTTGTTCTACCATAAAGTATATTCCCTCTACACCGATTTTTCATACTTTTGCAAGCAATATTATGCAACAGCTAATGACACAGATAGCATCCAAGCATCAACAAGTAACTGCGAACAGACGCAAGGACAGAATGTCAGAACTCTTTACAGAAGAGGCTGGTTCGGAAGACATGGTCGTTATTAATAGACTAACATGCCACAAAGAGAAGGCCTTATTAAAAAAAATAAACAGCATACCTGTATGACCGTTGTTCTTCATTGTCACAGATGGAGGCGATACATCGTACCTTTCGAAGGTGAACGGCCGGCGCCCAGACCAGTGGGTTGTATTTTCTATCTTGAGGTCGACAGGTGACTGACTGTTTCCACCACATGTCGGGAATACCTCGTGCCAGAAGGCTGGACCTAAAGCGTGAAAAGATTACATATATGATCCATGTAACCTACATGTTGCAGACAAGTAGGAATCAACTTGTATTAACTATTCCTTAGAGACACTATTGCTGCAATTTGTGATACTGAGCCAATACTTCTCATAGGGTAAGAAAAGTAATAAATGAAATATGAATAAACGACAGTAATCTATTATAATGCTCAAAACTAATATAGGTTTTGATAAAAATCAACTTAATGTATGAAAAAATCCAATCCCGCACTAAACCCTGACATTCATCCATCCCGCACTAACCCTGTAATCCAAACTAAACCCTGACATTCATCCAACTAATGCCTGGTTCCCGCATAAAAATCCTGCCATCCTGCAATCCCGCACTAAAATCCTGGGCCATCTCTTCAATCCGGCACTAAAATGCCTTGCCATCTCTTCAAATCCCGCGACTAAAATCCTGCATCCTGCATCCCCATAAAATTCCATCACTTCCAATCCGGCCTAAAAAATCCTGCATCGCTTCCAATCCCGCACTAAAATCTCTGCCATCCTTCCAATCTTCGCGCACTAAAATCCTGCATCTTCCAATCCCGCACTAAAATCCTGCCATCACCCATCCACTCCAAGCACTAAAATCCTGCCAATCCTTCCAATCCCGCACTAAAATCCATGCCATCAGCATCCCAATCCCCAGAGGCACTAAATTATCACTGGCATCACACTATCAGATGCCGGCACTAAACGCCGTAACCAATCCATCCAATCCTGCCAGCTAAACCTAGACATCCCATCAGAGTATTCGCTGCAGCGTTAAATCCCTGACATATGCATAATACCATCGCCAGCAATAAAACGGCCTGACATCCATACCATCCTGGCACATAAACCGACTGACATCCAATCGCAATCCTATATGCACTACTGCAGGACCCTGACATCCCATCCCACATGCCCCGCACATTAAACGACTGACATCAGCCAAATCCACAAATCCCGCAACTTTAAAACCCTGACATCCAATCCAATCCCCGCACTAAACCCTGACATCCATCCAATCCCGCACTAAACCCGACTCCAATCCAATGCACCGGCACTAAAACCCTGACAATCCAACCAATCCGAGCCACACTAAAACCCTGACATCCAATCCAATCTGCTGCACTAAAGCCTGAACATGCCCAATTCCAATCGCCCTGCACTAAACCCTGAACACCAATCCATAGCCCGCACTAAACCCTGACATCCATCCGAATACCCGAGCAACTAAACCTCTTGACATCATAACCAATCGCCGCACTAAACCCTGACATCCAACAATTCCCGGCACTAAAACGGCCTGACATCTCATAGCCAATCCTGCAGCTAAAACCTAAGACATCCGAATCCAATACCCGGCGCACTAAACACACTGACATCCAATCCATCCGCACTAAACCCTGAACATCCCAATCCAATCCCACTAAACCCTTGACATCCAATCCAATCCCGCACTAAACGCAGCTGACATCGCAAAATCGCAGATCCTGCACTAAACCACTGAACATCCATCCAATACCGCCACTAACACCCTGACATTCCAATTCCAATCCCGCACGTAACCCTGACATCGCAATACACAATCCCGCACTAAACGCTGACATCACAATCCAATCCGCACTTAACCTGACATCGCATCAATCCGCACTAAACACTCAGGCTGAATCCATCCAATCCGCACTTAAACCGGCTGACATCCATTCAAATGCCCGCACTAAATCCCTGACATCCATCCAATCCCGCACTAAACCCTTGACCAATCGCATACCAATCCCGCACTAAAACCCTGACATCCATCCAATGCCTGCACTAAACCTCTAGAACATTCATACCTCAATCCCGCACTAAACCCTGACATCCATACCAATCTGCACTAAACCCTGAACGATTCATCCATCCTGCACTAAACCCTGACATCGCATCCAATCCTGCACTAAACCACTGCACATCCATTCAATCTGCAGCTAAACGCCTGCACATGTCCATGCCATGCCTGCACGTAAACCCGTCAGGATTCCATACCAATCCTGCACTAAAACGTCGACTATCCATCAATCCCTGCACTAAACCCTGCACATCCATCCAATCAAGCTGGCACTAAACCCTCACGATCCATGCCAATCCTGCACTAAACCATCCTGCCATGGCCATACTCAATCCCCGGGCGCACGTAAAAAATGCTCTGGCTATCCTCGATTGAGGCCAATCCCAGCACTAAAATCCCTGGCATCCATACCCAAATCCCGAGTGCACTAATCCTGCATCATGCAGTGCCAATCCTGCATAAAAATCCTGGCCATCCATCCAATCCCGACACACTAAAAAATCTCGTGCGATCAAGCGAATTCAGGACAATCCCCGCCCTAAAATCCTGGCCATCCATTCCATCCCGCCCTAAATCCTGCCATGCCATTCCAATCCCCCCGCACTAAAAATCCTGCCATCCATACGGACACAATCCCCCGCGAGCGGTGTGTGATTCACTAAAAATCCCTCCTGCATCCATGTGGTGCCAATCCGAGCACTAAGAGATCCTGCCAATCCATGAGCGCGTCCAATCCCGCACTAAAATCCTGCCACCCATGCCAATCCCGCACTAAATTCCTGCGCATCCCCATCCAATCCAGCACTAAAATCCTGCCACATGCCATGTCCAATCCCCGCACTAAATCCTTGGCATCTCATCCAATCCACGAGGCACTAAAATCCTGCCATCCACCATACCAATCCGGCACACTAAAATCCTGCCATCGCATTTCGGAGTGTGGCCAATCCGCACTAATCCCTGCCAGTTCTCAGACCCAATCCACACCACTAAGAATCCCTGCATCCATATCCAATCCCTGATAGCACGCATAAAAAATCCCTGCCATCCATGTCTCTGCACAGTCTTATAGATCTTGTTAGGCAGTCATTCCGTCCCAGGCTAAAAAATCCTCCCCATCCATTCCGTATGTCCAATCCCCCACTAAAAATCCTGCCATCCATGAGGCCCATTCCCGGGCATCAGATCGTAAAATCCTGCCAGTCTCTAATCAGGCAGCCTAAATCCTCCCCGCTAAAAGCGTAAAAATCCTGCATCCATCCAATCCACCCAGCACATAAAAATCCTGGCACATCAGTCATTTGGCGCCAATCCGCCCGCACACTAAATCTGCCATCCCATTCCCTTCTCCGAAATGATTCCAAAATCCCGCACGTAAAATGCCTGCCATCATTCCAATCGCAGCATAAAATGCCTGCCATCCATACCAATCCGGCGCACTAAAACATCAAATCCTGCATCCATTCCAATCCACATCTAAAATCCTGCCATCCATCCAATCGCCGCACTAAAAAATCCCCTGCATGCCATGCCCAATCCCACCCACTAAAAATCCCTGCCATCCCATGCCGAATCCCACGCACGTAAAAATCCTGTGGCATCGCATTGTACCAATCCCCCCGCGACTAAAATCCCTGCCATCCATTAATAGCCGCACCCCTACTGGCACCACCAAAGGGTACAAGACTTAAGAACCCGCACTAAGATACAAGAAGGGATAGTGACCTGTCCATCCAATTCCCCTCACATCCAATCCAACGCACTAAAAATCCTGCATCCCATCCAAGTCCAGGACCGGCCACCGCACTAAAATGCCTGCCATGCTCCATATAGCACCAATCCAGCCACTAAAATCTCTGCCATCCATCCAATCCCGCACTAAAATCCTGGCCATCCATCCAATCCACCAACTAAAATCCTGCCATCGCATCCAACCCGCACTAAATCCTGCCATCCAGTCAATCCGCACTAAAATCGCTGCCATCCCATCCATATCTCCAGACTAAAAAATCCCTGGCCATCGACATCCAATGCCACCACTAAAATCCTGCCTCATCCAATCCGCACATAAAATCGCCTGCCATCCATCGCAAGTCCACCACTAAATCCTGACTGCATCCATTCCAATCCACGCGCACTAAATGCCTGCCAAATCCAATCCAATCCCGCACTAAAATCCTGCCTCCATCCCAATCCCGCACGTAAAATCCTGCCATGCCATTCCAATCGCCGCACTAAAATCCTGCCATCCCATCCAACTCCGCACTAAATCCTGCCATCCATACCAATCCAACCACTAAAATCCTGCCAATCCATCGGCCAATCCACCACTAAAATCCTGCCATCCCATCATCCACCACTAAAATCCTGCCATCCATACAATTCCACATAAATACTGGCCATCCATCCAATCCCGCACTAAAATTCTGGCATCCATCCAATGCACCGCAACTAAAATCCTGCCCATCCATCGCAATCCCGCACTAAATGCCTGGCCATCCATCGCAATCCGCACTAAATCCTGCATCCATCTGCAATCCCGCACTAATCCTGCGCATCCATCCCATCCCGCACTAAAAAGTCCTGCATCCCATACCAATCCACCACTAAAATCCCCTGCCATACCATCCAATCCACCACTAAAGATCTGCCTGCATTCATTCCAATCCACCACTAAATCCTGGCCATCGCATCCCAATCCACCACTAAAAATCGCTGCCATGCCTGACATACCACTGAAAATCCTGCCATCCATCGCAATCGCACCACTAATAATTCCTGCCATCCCATTCCATATCCGCATCACCACTAAAATCCTACCATCGCATACCAATCCCGGCACTAAAAATCCCCTTGCCATCGCATCAATCCCGACAAATCCCTGCCATCCCATCCAATCCCCCACTAAAAATCGGGCCTGCCATCCGCATCCAAATCGCCCCACTAAAATAACTGCATCGGCATCCAATCCCGCACTAAAATCCTGCCATCGCTCCAATCCCGCCGCACTAAAATCCTGCCATCCCATCCAAATCCCGCACTAAAAAATCCTTGGCCATCCATGACCAATCCACCACTAAAATCCTGCCATCCATCCTCCATATCCCGGCACTAAATCCTGCCACCTCCAATCCCTAAAAATCCTGGCATCCATTC